TGGGACCAAAATGGACAGAAATGGGACCAAAATGGACAGAAATGGGATCAGAATGGACAGAAATGGGACCAGAATGGACAGAAATGGGACCAGAATGGACAGAAATGGGACCAAAATGGACAGAAGTGGGATCATAATGGTCAAAAATGGGATCAGAATGGACAAAAGTGGCACGAAGGAACGAGTAACGGTAACGGTTGGGATGGACGGAGATGGGAGAATGGTAACTGGGGGGAGGTCCCCACTCCGACGGTACATGTTGACATGAGTGCTGCTTACTGGAGAGGGAACGCTAGCGTCGCCGATAGCAGTGATAACGGAGGTAAGTCTAAACTTATATTTTATAATTTTTAAGTGAATCTGAATAGATATAACACGATAAATGAACCTTAAAATTATTTTTATTATACCAAGAGACGACACGAATAGGTCATGCGCCTGGTGGTAAACTACACGCCTGTCATAACAATTGCAGTGCCACTCAGAGCTTTAAACCGCAAAGACCTGAGGGGCACTGCCACTGCGCCCGTCACCCTGAGACATACGTTGACAAGGCCCATGTACCTGTAATTTCACCAGCACCCTTAACCTTCAAAACTGGAACGCAGTAATGCTGACATTACTGCTTGGTGGCAGATATAGGTAACGTAGCAGTACTTTCCTGGACGAAATCTACTGCTGCTGGGCTGGTCTTATTTGCATGCATTAAGAGCACGGAGCTCTAGTCGTTTTTTCTGTATAATTATAATCCGCGAAAGGCCATAATGGTGAAAGTTGCCAATAACTTCTTAATAAAGCATGAATAATGAACCCACAAGCACGGTCGATTGGGTCCGTAATTAACTATGCTTAGCCAACTGCTAAAAAGTAGGACGCGTAAGCACTTGATTAAGTATTCGCTCGCAAAAACAATGAAGTTGAGTATTGGGAGTTTTGTAAGATGCATAACCATCATTCAGTCCAGTATATAAATATCAACCAAATTAATCAAAGATAGTGGAAGTAGATAGACTTCCACCTGCTACATCACCGACTAACTTCTTTAGTCTCCTGCACTCCCGTCAGTCTTTTCACGCATGCCCGTTTCAACTACCTCGTTGGCCGAACGGTTACCGTGCTGGTCTGCCACACAGAGGTCCTGGTTTCGATTTCCGGGCCGGGAATTTTTTATTTACCAAATGAAGGGACGAACAAGTACACCTGGTGGTAAGCTACACGCCTGTCCATAACAATTGCATTGCCACGCAGACCTTTAAATCGCAAAGATCTGGGGGGCACTGCCACTGCGCCCCACACCCTGAGACGTAAGTTCACAAGTCACAAGCACCATTAACCTTCAAAAACAGTAATGCTGACATTACTGCTTGGCGGCAGAAATAAGTAATGTGGCAGTACTTCCCTGGATGAACTCTTTCACAAGTATGTCTACTGCTTATACTATTCTGTAATAAGATGCCGATTTATATTCAAAAGCCTTACAAATACCTGCTCGTCCCTGGTATTATTATTTACAATGCAACACCATCTAGTGGTAGGGTGACTGATTTACTATCTAGTTATTGTTTATTATGTGCTAGAATAGGCGTTATGGCCTATTTACACGGGGCCAATTAACAGCCAAGCCTTTAAGCCAGTATAATGATAAGTGCGGAATTCGCAACGTCCATCTACACTAGCCAGTATTACAATAAGTTTCTTTAAGATTCTTTAGTAAACGCCAATGCAAACTAGTGGAGTGGTTCAGAACGCACGTTCACACAAGAGAGAGAGACACTACATAAGGGATTATTTCTATTTACACGACGTCAATAATGGCTTGGGTTAATGGAATGGCTCGTCGATTGGTCCCGTGTAAACGGTCTTTAAGGCTGGTGTTGGTAGATACACCAGCCACATTACTGCTCATAAGTGTTTGGTATTATTTTCTATATAATAATCTTATAAACCAGGTTTCCCTGAAGATGGTATGCTGCATTCCCCCACGACAGCTGCTATTAGTGGTCTGGCCAGACAGTCTCCAGCCAACAGCCGAATGCGACATTCACCGTCTAACTCAGGTACATCTTTTGGTCTAAATATTTTTGGTTTTTACTGTACAGACGGCAGCTCGTTTTTCGGCGTCGGAAAGTGAGAGTACCTCACAGCTCCGCCACCAATGAGGAGATTTGGTAGGGGACTTTAGAAACGACAGCTTAGCGGTGGCAACCGCTAGTTGTACAGTGCGTAACGGGAAGTGAGCGTGCCTATAATAATAATATTAGTTGTATGAAGTTAAGGTAAATATATTCAACCTTTTCCGATCTCTATTAATGATATTATGAGTAGTCAGGGTTGGCTTGGTCTCATAATAATCTAGTTTTATTTCCACAGGCCGTCTGCGAAGTCATTCGCCATCAACCAATAGTGCAACAGACAGATTGCTAGCGAACTCTCCTTCAACCAGACTACAAAGCCAATCGCCTTCCAATAACTCTTCCAATGGACGTATTAAGGGGTCACCGTTAAGGTAAACTTTATAATTCCTACACGATTTTAATATTTTCGTGATTATTCACTAAGTGGTCTTTATACCATTGTCCTCTACACATTATTTTTAGTTGACATTGTCTATACCTTTTTTATAATATTAAGTGACGGAACGAACAAGTGTGCCTGGTGGTGAGCGACACACCTGTCCCTAACAGTTGAAGTGCCAGTATAAATCACATAGATTTGAGGGGCACTGCCACTGCGTCCGACACCCTGAGATATAAGTTGACAAGTCCCATGTGCCTGTAATTTCACCAGCACCCTTACCCTTCGAAACGGGAACGCAGTAATGTTCATATTACGGCTTGGCGGTGGGAATAGGAACTCCCTGGAGAAACTCTTTCACAAGGAGCTCCACTGCCACTAAAATTCCTTGCTATAGTTCTAAAATTATCTATGAAGATTTATTATTATTAGTTTATTTATTTCTTAAATATAATATTACAGTATGAATTGCACAACATGTCAGTATAGCAAAGGAATCAATTTTTAAATTTCTTCTGTTCGAAATTCAGCTGTGACCATCGTTGACTCAATGGTGACCATGGCTCCTGTAAGTCAAAACAATGGTTTGTTTGAGAAAACAAATATACCCGACTTATATTCGAAAAAATGGTAAAATTTCTCATAAACTACACGACTGTACTCTCGTTTTGTTACCTGTTTGAACTTGTTTAGTGGTCAAGGATGCCGCCTTTATAATAAGATAAAAAAAAATTAATCATCCTTATAGATTACGAGAGACATCACCACCTCGACATATGCATTCGCCGGTGTCAAGACGATCCCCATCTTGCTACGAAACTGATTCCCTGGCACAACCTAATACAGTTTACGTGCCTAATTACCCACAGGTATGAACATTTTCATTTGTTTTAACAGTATTTAATTACCTCGTAATAATAACGTTTGCTGTACTCGTTTAGTGTACCTGCCATTGCTACGGCCTTGGAATTCTCTCATTGAGCCTATTCCACGATCCGTTCCTCTTTATTCCTTCAAACGACGTGTTAAGGAACAATTTCTTAACTCCTAGGTCTGGTTTTTCTGTCCTATCCCTTCATTTATACTAATTTTTCCGGGAAGAAATTGCTACTTAGCAATAAGTCCGCCTGTTATACATTAGTACTTACTCTGATATTACATTAATGTTCTGTGGTGTCATTGTAATTTTTAATGTGCTGTAAACAATATTTCATTCATTCATTATAACGACATGTTATTTATTGCTCGCTTCAGTTACGTCATGCTCTGTGACCACGCCACCCAATTTTGTTTTATTATGATATTACCCATGTAATGTAAGGCTGACGTACATGATGATCATGTAATTTTTGTGAATGTACACGATTAGTTTAAAAGAAAAGAAAAAAACATTTACAGTGACGTAGCTACAGAAAATGCTCTACAGCCACGCATATTATTAATACATGAAGACGCAATTTTTGGGTCGTATTCTAGAACTCTACTCAATGCTCAAGTCAGGACTTGAGTATGACTAAAAGCACTAGAAATCATACTCAAGTCCTTGCCATTAGAGTCGTATTTCCAGTGCTTGAAATCATACACAAGTCTGCTCAAAACCTGACTTGAGCATTGAGTAGAGTTCTGGAATACAACCCATAGCTATTTTTCTGAATATAGCCAATGTACGAATGCTGTGTATTATGTACATATCAAAAAATAGGCGAAATGTAAGTGAATTCTGCTACATTTCAAATTTTATAAGAATGAAACACCTTCGTTTTGCAATGTTTTGTAAGAGTGAATATTACAAAACATTGCATAACAAAAAAAAATTGGAAAGATCATGACGTCTTCACTTTGCTCAACTCACATTCCTCAAGCTATTACGATATCTAAAACCACTTTTTACTTACAGGTAGAAGCAGGTGGGAGTACAGATCCCGAAGCAGATGTACTAGTACGCCTAGCACGAGGCAGCGCCGGATTCGGGTTCCGGATAGTCGGAGGCACCGAGGATGGAAGTAGAGTCGCCGTTGGATACGTTGTGCCAGGTAGCAACTCGTACTATTAATTTTTAATAAAGCGAGCTGCTGGTAAATGAAGAAAAAACTTTAGTAGGTTTCTCACAGACCTTAATTTCGAACAACTTTGAATATCAAATTTTGTACTTACTTAAAAATAAACATCACTTTGTTTTTATTCAAGGCGAGGCTGTCCTGTCTTTGGTCCGCGCCGCAACCGCACGGTTGTATTGTTCCGAGGAATTGAAATATTGTTGCCTAGTAAATAGAATTCAGATTCGACAGTAATGTACGTGAAAGCGTGGTAACCGGGCGGTAACCGCGCGGCGGCCGCGCGAAAACTTTCGCGTCGTGTAACTGGGCGCTTATTAGTATATTCAGATGATGCCAAGAACGTAACGAAATTTGACTATTGCCAACAATTGTTTATCGACTGAGCTATTACTAGTATTTGAAGCTTATTTTCACCACAGGTGGTCCAGCTGATGGTCTCCTACGCCCCGGGGATTTGCTAACATCAGTAGACGGCATTCCGCTTGCCGGAGCTACACACGCTCGAGCCGTCGCTTACGTCTGTCAAGCTGCTTCTAGGGGTCATGTAAGTAACTATTTAAAAATACGATCATCTTGACATGAAGATACTGTCCTTCATACCTAAACATATAACATGATTAACAGTAGCTTACGTCAGAGTAGCTGTTTCAAGCGGAGATGTATATGATTCTTGGCTTCCAGAGAGAGATTGTAGCAGTAGAGTTCCTTGTGAAAGAGTTCGTCCAGGGAAGTACTGCCACCTTACCTATTTCTGTCGCCAAGCAGTAGTGTGACTATTACAGCGTTCCAATTTGGAAGGGTAAGGGTGCTGGTGAAATTACAGGCACATGGGACTTGTCAACTTATATCTCAGGGTGACTGCGCAGTGGCAGTGCTCCTTAGATCTTTCTAGCACTGCAACTGTTAGGTACAAGCGTGTCGATTATCACCACCACACGACTTGCTTGTTCTATCACTTAATATTATAAAAAAGAGCCTATCATTCGGATAGAGTGGTCTGGGAAGAAGTTTTTTTTGTAGTATTAGTTTCAAACAAAATTAATAACTTTATATTCTTATGGCTAAATTACCTCCGTCATTTGCCTGTAACTGAGTAAAACTTACGATTTGATTAACTTTTATCAAGCTAATATTGAATATGAATCGTCGTATGTCCACCTTTTTAACCGCCGCGCCGAGGCCAAAGAAGGGAATTATATATGTTTGAAGCCTTTGTCTGTGGACATCGGGGCTCCCACCCCTACGGACTGATCACAAAGCGACGTTTATTTGAAGGCTATTGTTAATTGAGAGATATGGAGAGATGGAGCCATTATAAAATAAAAACACTTTATTTCGTCTCAAATATAAACAAAATTGCATACAAGGTTAATACAAATATAGTGAAAGGTACGTGCGTGCGAGCGGGCGTGTGTGCGGGCGTGCGTGCGGGCGGTCGGGCGATCTCGTGCGTGCGTACGTACGTGCGTGTGTGAGCTATGTGTGTCGTATATTAAAACCCAGAATACGATGATTAGAATATATTGTGTACTCCAAGGCATATAGGTGTATAGCTGTTATAATTTCAACTGAAACAAATGAATTTGGTTTATATATTTAAGTCAGTCGGTATTTATTGATTTAAATGAAAGATGTTGGTTTTTGACGTTTGTTGATAAAGGAACGATATGAACCGTGTTCATTTAATGTTTTTGTTTCTCAGGTAACTTTAGGAGTACGGCATAATAGAGCGGACATCCAGCCTCTAGGTCTACCTACAATGGTCGCGCCACATGCACATCTTACCTCACCTCACGCACCTTTACTTGCGTGAGTAAAATCACTTATTTAATCAAATCAAAGTTAGGCGTATTTAACTTAAACTTCAAGTTAAGCAAATACAGCGGATAATACCTCTCTCTGAATTCTAGAATGATTAAAAATAAAAGAGAAAAAAATCTAAACAAAATAGTCATGTTTTTACTTACAATTAGTTAACAATAGTGGCCAAAACCAATACCCTTTTTTTTTTTGCCTTACTTTCTCAAAGTCGTATCTTATAAAGAGTTATTACTCAGGAGAAGGCAAAACTTTCTATTTATTTGAAATTTCTTATCAATGGTGTTAATTTAGATGCATTACTTTAAGAATATGTAAAAGCCAGTATGTGAGTATGAAGGAAATGTATGTAATACATTTTTTGCATTTCAGTTACTTTGATTTTTAAGATTCGAGTTTGAGAATATAAAGCGACGGTATAGATTTTTTTGCTTATTACACAGTTCACACAGTAAGAGAAAAGCCGTAGTAGCCTTGGTTTGACCTTTTTTTTTTTTTGTCGGGGCGAAATCTTTATGGATACCCCTGAGCCCAGGGAGACTCAGGAGTTATGTGGGGACTCTCCCTCCAGACTGGAGGGCCTACCCCACTAAAACCCCCCCCGGGTTTCCCTCTCGCCGGTTGAGTCGGCGCCGTAGGATCAGTGAACATTCACCACGACGCCGCCCGGAGCCTTGGTTTGACCTACCGTCTCTCAAGCAGAGGCCGTGGGTTTGAATCCGGGCTCACACCTCTAAATTTCTCGAAACTTACGTGCGAAATTTAATTTTAAATTTACCAAGTGTATTAAATTAATTCTGCAAATAGTATTAGAATAAAGCATTCATAAAGCATCACATAAAAATATTACATTTTCTAATTACAATGCATTAAGACACACTTTCATTTCATTAGCTTTTCGGTGACGGAAAACATCGTGTTGGAACCTGTACATTGAAGAGGTTCTGAACCCTCGGAAAACGTGTAAAGTCCCAAACCCGCAATAGCCTAGCGTGGCGGATGGCCTAAACCCCCGCCTGAGAGGGACCCCGTACCCAGCAATGGATAAAAATCTTATACAGAGATCTGAGGCAAAAGCCTTGCTCAACACTGGTTTTCAGCCATTCCCTTTCCCTGAGATCTAGAACGGGACATATAATAATATAGTAGGACATATAGTAATCAAGTAACGTATATGATTCGTTCGGCTTTGTGAACTAGAAATTCTTCGAAATTGGTTGTTTTTTTTATCTCTATTTATTACTAAGGTAGTGTGTTTAAAAAAAATATTAACTGCCATATTTCCATTTATTTTTAATTATTCCGGGACTTCAGAGGGAGATATTATTCACTCTATGTGTTCTGTAAATCGCATTAATTAAGTCTTTGGGTACGTCGTCACAAAACATCACAACAGTACCACACCATCTTAGTAATATGATAGTAAGTCTTGTTGGTTTTTTTCTTGGTTATTATCTATCATATGTCATACAAGAATCCTGTGTTACTGGGATGTTAGAGTATACTGAATAGAATAGACATTTATTGCAACGCCACAACACAAATACAAATAAAAGTGTAATAATACTTAGACAAACAAAACAAAATAGAATGAAAAACAAAAAATAAACAATACGAAAACAACATAAAGTATAAATTGACAAAAAGCAATAAACAAAATATAAAATATGACAATTTGTACTGTCATTTGAGCGGTTGTTATGGTACTCAAAAGGACTTCATTCAGCTTATGCCACAGCCATAAATTAGACATTACGTATTAAAATTCATAATAAACATTGTATATATTGTTATCGTGTCAATATTTTATATGATCTGTTGCGATACGAAATAAATATATAAATCTCTGTCCGCCATGAAGAGCCCGAATAACCATAGATTCATTTCCAACTTGATAATGTTAATAGCGCGGAGCCATCAATGCAAGGTGTAGGCGGAGGGCCATACAACATCTTGCATCCTGCTCCAGTCTACCCTCCAGCACCACATCTCTCTATGCCAATGTGAGTACACTTTTTCTCCATAATCATTTCTATTCTATTTTAGTAGCAGTGGAGTACTACCACTTTACCTATTTCTGCCGCGAAGCAGTAATGTGAGCATTACTGCGTTCCGGTTTTGAAGGGTAACATCGACTCCCTTGAAGTCGAACGTGTGCAACCATCATTGTAACAAAATATAATGTTTCTGTAGGTATGGAGTGCAGTACGATAGCGTAACTTGGGCCCCCGTGCCCTATGACGTCACCGTGACAAGAAACGAAGGCGAAGGCTTCGGATTTGTCGTTATCTCCTCGACGAACAAAGCGACTAGCACTATTGGTAAGTAGCCGAACCCATCGCGTCTTACCACGAGACACTAATCTCCTTACTTTCCATAAGTTAATTGGCCGTCCATAAGAACCGGAAATAGGTAAGTCTCGAATCCGCGAACGCCGCATCGGAAGCCACCGAAACAATGAATTCCCAAAAAAATCCCGATCGCATAATTTCACGAAATTCAACCGTTAAGTGGCCAGCTTTATATTAAAGACAAGAGTATACAATACGGTATAATATATAGTCTAGTCTATTTCAGTTTGTATAATATTGGTCTAAATTATTTTTATTAATTCTACTTTATTTTAACATATTCTAATTCTTTTCTTTGTTTTTTTTTCTCTTATTTATTTTGGATTAAATACATAAATATATACATAAATTGTTATTAATATTAAAACAGTCATAATATTTAATATTAATAGTATTGTCGAAATTCATCTAATGAAATTGTAATAGTACCGACACAGGACAGGCTCTGCCTAGTGTAGGACCAACTGTAACCATGCACAAAGCTTCCAGGCAGGAAATCTTGTCATTGCAATTGCTCTCTGTACTTGTGATGTCAAATAAACATATTATTATTCTTGTATTTTAATGAGATCAATCAACTTCTCGAATTAAATAAAAAACAAATCAACAATACTTTCTTTAATGAATATGCATATTTAGAGACAAGCAATTAAACATCTTTTTCAGTCTGATTCTATGTAGTGTTACCAGCGTTAGACTTGAAAATCATACATACGAATATAACTATTGCTTATTACATGTTGAATAAAAACAAAACTTATATTTTATAGTTTTTTTTTAATCTCCAGGTCAATTAATCCCTAACTCGCCAGCAGCCCGCTGCGGCCTCCTCCACGTCGGAGACACGATAGTGGCAATCAACAGGGTCTCCATTCGGAACCTGCCACACCCCGAAGTGGTCGCCTTGATCAAGCACAGCGGTACCTCTGTCACTTTGACAGTATTACCGCCGGACCCAAGAGGTGATTGATCCACAGTTAACTTACCTGTAAATGGTAAATATGACTTGAACGTAACTATTGAAGTTTTGGAAAAATACACTACGTGAAGTGATCCCGATACATACAGACGAAACTTAAGCATTTATGATCTGTCTCCATGTTTGAAGACGGAGTAAAATGATATTTGCAGGGTTGCCAGTTTTCATAAAATTTTAGTTATGCTAGTTGTTGTCGATAGATTGTGAAAGAAGAAAAAAAAATTCTAATGATTACTGATGGCGTTATTGCCTACTTAATTTTATTTTCAGATGGCCTACTAGCATCGAGATCAATTATTTTTTTTCATTTACATATATATTTTAACAAGGATAGCCGGATTTGATTATATATATTAAATTAAAATGAAAAGCTTTAAATATGTCTCCTCTATGTAGTTTTCGTTGACATAGTTCTAAATAAAGTGTATGTATGTATGAACTTACAAAAATGGACAATTCAAATGAACTTGTGCTTAGTAATTGGATGAATAATTCGTCGAGGATGATTGAAATAAAACAGGTTCGGCTATTTATTTCACAAGCGTGACCTATATTCAGTCGATAGAATATTTATCAACTGCAATCACTGGCTGCTCGCAAGCAGGCAACATTTTTGCGCTGTGAACTGTCATTTTACTCCGTCTTCAAAAAAGACAGATTATAAATAAGGCAGTTTTTGTTTAATACTCTGGTCACACAGAGGCGGCCGTAATGCACAAGTTTATATGAACTCTGCCATACTGAAACGGGGTGCGGGGGCGGGTGCGGGCGTGCGAGTTGTATTCCATTAAGTGCTATGCAACCGTCCACACAGAGCGGTAGCTACGGGAGGGGGACTTTAGCTGGCTTTGATGTTGTATTTTTTTACAACTCTTGAGTGTGTGTTATTAAGTTCCAATATCAATTCGACCGAATTTGTTTTTTGTGTTCCTTCCGTAAAATTTCTTGATCATTACCCGACAGCGATGTGGTTTATTCTTTAAAATCTGTATTGAAAGTGAAAAGTGACCGCTTTTGGTGTCACATTGACCGTCTTCGGGTCGCTATTCCGCTGCGGATTCCTGTGTGTCACGCCACGGTTCGCATTCGCTTCCCGCAGGTCCGACCCCGGACAGCTTTTCCCGCTGTACAGCCTCTGTGTAGCTTGAGCTTAAGTCATTCTATTGCTTCAAATATTATTTTTATTGAACATTGTTATTACGTTTACGTATTAGTTTTATTGAAAGTTGATTGAAAAGAACTTACTTTTTTGTGAAATCACTCCACTAGTTAGTGGAGCAATTTCATAAAAAAATAATCCAATATCGTGATAGTAAAACATCGTGACATCCAATAAAACTTAAAAATTAATTGAACATGTTAAAAGTTAATTAAAACTCATTTTCTGATATCTCAATTAATTGTTAAAGTCATTTACATATACTCCGTTTATTTTTAGCAATCGTTAGTATATAGCTTGTACGACGACATTAAGGTTGTAACGTCTTGTATAAGTTGAAAAAAAATATATATATAAAAATGTTATACAGTAATGATCTTCAAACTCATCATTCACTTGGGAACAGTGTTGCGCAACAATCTCTCAACTTTCGCTCAATAATAATTCTTATTCATTTGAGTTGTATATCTGTTACAACATTGTTCACCAAACTATGTAACTTAGTGTACAAGAACACTGGTAACGTAAGAGCGCGTTCCCGTTGTCTCGTAACGTTTTATTTATCGTTGGACGACTGTCGCGTAACAGATAGTCGTGCAGTTTAAAGTGTCGTGGCTTGCATATTTAAATGAAGTTGTTCACATATAGATTGACACGATTAACTGTCGTTCACGACTTTTTTTGATGTTACCACGCAGACTGTCGTGACAATGGGAAGAGCTAGAACGACAGTCGTCCAACGAGAAATGAAACGTTACGACATAATAGGAACGCGCCCTATCGACAAAAGAGTCGTGAACGACAGTTAATCGTGTTGTACTATATGTGAAATTGTGAACAACTTCATTTAAATATACAAGCCATGACAATTTAAACTGCACGACTATCTGCCGTCACACATAACGGGAACGTACTCTTATGGAAGAACGTTTGCTTCTCTGAACACTTACATTTGTAAGTGTTCAGTTGAAATACCTTTCGCCATAGGTAAAGAAAAACATTGTGGAGTAAACTGCACGTCAAAGACGAGTCAAAACCCTTTGGCAACGCGTGTCAAGTCCCTAACCCTCATTGAGCTGGAGTGGCAGACTATGTCCTAGATCCGTGCCCTGTAGCGGGACGTACAATAGACTAGTGATGATGAAGTGTACAAGGCCTAAATAAGTACTTCCAAATGTCCATTTGAGCTTTAGAAACCTGATATTACTTGTAAACATACCGTCCTATATCTTATGAAGTACATTACTACTTAAAATTAAGTACATTATATAGATTCGTATTAATAAATCCACCTCATGCACAGCAAAAAATACCAATTAAGTGCACATCAACGATTTCTGCATTTTAGGGACTTTTGTTAACCACGCGAAATTGGCTTGAGCCGGCCGGAAAAAGCTTTATGTCGATGCAATACACGTTGCAAAGAGTTCTCGCGTGGCAACCGCGTAAAAATCTAAAACCTGGTGAAGGTTCCGGAAATAATCTGAAAGCAGCGCAAGATCGGTAATTATAGCGATCTCGATAATAATGTTCATAATTAAAATTTTAATTTAACTGCCTCAATGGCCGAGCGTTTATCATGACTGCCACGCGGAAGTCCCGGGTTCGATTCCCGGGCCAGGCGAAATATTTATATGGCGTTTAAATTTATTTCTCTCGTGAGTTTGGGTGTAATTTGTAGTTGTCTATGTGTGTATCCGTGGCACCAGTATAGGGTGTCCCTAGTGTGGGGATAGGAGTGTGTGCGTTAAAAAAATGGTAACTTTTTTATAAACAAACCCGACCTCAAAAGTTCGTAGAATTACATCTATTTGCCAAGTTTTATTGAAATTGGTTACCGGAAAGTGCGTGAAATTAGACTCGTCCCTTAGTTTGCCACTCTTAGAGGTGGAGTATTTTCTTCAAATTTAAATGGAACCAATACTAATATACCCTCCAACAAAAAAATAAACATCAAAATCTGTTCACAAATGTCGGAGTTATCGCGTAACATACATTAAAATAAACAGTCGAATTGAGAACTTCCTCCTGTTTTTTAATCGGTTAATAATGATGAAAACACATCGACGAAGATTGACACGAATCGAATACATTGGAATCTCACGTCTGTTTCGTTCTCATTGCACGTAAAGCTTTTTCTCATTGACTCGAGCCGATTCCGCGTAAGTAAGTGTAGCGACTCCTTTAGTACGTTAATTCTCACTCATATTATACTCAGCACTCAAGCTACTTATTAATCTTAGTTCTGGACCCTGAATCTGCTACTTAATTTTAAATCATTTCAGTTGTGTCGATAGAGTGTTTGTTATTCTGCTAAAAATAGAGGCTTGTCAGTGGCTAACCATCGAGAAGCTATTTAACTACCATTGCAATTTTTTGGTATTCTGCTTTTCAATAGCAATGGTATAGTCTACTAAAATACCGTCACGCTATGATGGCCGTTTTGAAATATTACAATAGTAAGGTGAAATCTCGATTCATTATCGAATAAAATATAATCAAAAGCGAGTCGCATCTACGAGTTTTTAGAACAGCAATGCAGTATCAATATCTAAAATCCAAAGTCTTACCATATTTAAAATTGCCATTTTTAAATATGGCCACCATTAAAAAGCTATTAAATTTTTTTTTTAAAGTCACAAGGTGAGTACGTAGGTAGTATACGGAGGCTTTATTACGAGTACAAGATCTCACAATTGTTCAAAATGTGAGGCATACTTCCCGATGTAGTGGAAATGATATACGAGATACGTTGTTGTATCTCGACCGTCTCTATGTTAGATTCTTTTTTCTTGGAAGCCATGCCAATGAGAAGTATTTTGGAAAAAAAATGCCAGACAATCACACCAAATTTCTGGGCTCAAATTTGGGAATTTCCTGTACTATGAATACCAGAATAACTGTAACACTGAGGGCAATACCAGGAATACCCAGAAAAGAACCAACTTAAAAATGTTCGTTTCTTCAATTGGCCCAAATCGGGAACGAACTCGGAACTACCCATAGTACTAACCGCTGTGCCACCGAAGAGCATAAGCACACGCGCCGTAGGTCGAGCCCGACCCTACCGTAGGTGGGGTAAAGGACTCATACATATTTAATTCAAAGACCAAATTGCTAGACAAAAATTTAGACATGCGTAGTATTTTCCATGGTAGTTTTAGTAGGGCAACATGAATGAATGCCGTCACTGCCATTCCACTAACACTCAATTGAAACTTAACTGCTGATTAACTGACATTTTAGCAGAATAACAAACATGATTACAATATAATCTCAGTGGAATTACCATGGAGTTACAATGATCAGTAGTTTTAAGAAAATTAGCAGACTAGGGCCCAGGAGCCTGCCATAACCTTTCAAAAAACAATCTTATTTCAATGTAAGCTTATAGTAAGCTTATTATAACATTACTCATATTCGTACCATGACAAACCTATTAACCAAGTAATGTATTATTGCTAAAGTGACTGAAGGAACGAACGATTTCCCAATATTGTGTATTCCTATTTATGAAACAAACGCTGTATGAACTGTATATTGCCATCTATTTCTTTTTTGATGTTCCGAATCGTCCTATCGTATTATAATGTCAAAGTACTTAATATTATTTACATTCAGAGAATTTTAACTGCAAAATTACGTACTTTTTTTATGAAATCTATTGAAATTACGTCGTTTCATAAAGAAACAACAAGTCTTGATTGTCATGTTGTGAATTCGGAATTATAGTCTAGTGTCAACTTTTATTTAACGAGAGATCATTTCGTATATACTATTAAATAACAAATATACGAAAAATTGTAAACAAAATATTGAAGAGATATATGTAAATAAATAAGTTCAACTTAACTTTTAATCATTACAAATTAATAGTTAAACAATAAACTCGAAAATAATATTGTTTCCATTGCATCCGTGTAACTACTTTAAGATTTGCTAAATTTGACATAAGAACAATATTATTTTAATGTTGAAGTCGCGTCATAGTACGAACTGAGGGAATGAATAGTCACAAAGCTGCCAATAAAACATCATAATTTTAACATTATAATAAGCTTACTATAAGCGCGTCCAAGTACGAAAAGTAAATGTGAGGTTAAAGTAATATTGTTTTAAGAGGGTGTAGCAGACCCCTGATCGTAAATATTACACATCGAGATTAAAAAAAGGCTATCGGCTATAGTCGGCTACCTTCGGATTTGCATGGCACCGTTTCCCTCTCACGACTGACGAATGTGAGTGATAGAGGCGACGCTCTACAAAGCCGAAACCAGCAATCAATTTCGCTGTTTCTGTTGCGTATTCTAAATAAAATTTAGTGTTACAAATAATCAACCTAGTATATTATATTTCATCTTAAAAGCTTTATTTTAAGGCGTGATTTCTACATTATAATATACCAATATTGTCTTAGACTGTAATCTTAAGGCTTTAAGTAAACTTGTGCCTTTACGTAGTCTTTTTTATCATTGTTTGTTATTATTAACTTACTATACTAAGTATACTGAGCCATAGATCTACTTATTTATAAGGTTTAGAATAATAGTAAAGAAAAAATTAAAAATCGTCAGCTTTACTGTAGCAACTTTCATATTAGGTTTACTAATTATCTTTGCTCAAGGTAGGTAAGATGTAACGGATGGAATTTTAATTATTGCTTATATAGTGAAGGTCTATAAAAACTGTTCGAAAACGTGAATCTATATAGCATAAACACGCTCTTTAAAAGAGAGCTATACTGATCAGTTGTTTGTGGGTGAATTGAATACATAAGTGCATTGACTTACAATTATATGGACGTCGGGTCCGCGCTAAAAAGTATCCGAACTTATAGGGCGTTAAAATCGTATACAGGGCGTCATTCACGCTCTAGTCTTCGTTTGTTCGACTGACAGCGAAGCAAGCTAAATTAGACAGTACTGCGATGACATTACAATTTAAATTCAACGTTTTAGCTTTTTCATATTCCTTGACATGTCACTACGTTTAAATAGGTTGACTTGGGACATTTTTTTCGTGGTTTTTGTATTAGACCCGTCGTCCATTTATTTGTAAGTCAATGCATAAGTGGTAATCAATTTCAAAATATTGTGGAAATAATTTTTGGAATG